ATATTAAAAAGTACCCTTTGAGATGGGTGCTTACCTTCTCTTAGACGGTCAACTACAAAAGTAAAACCTGTAGTTCTCGGATGTAAGACATATTCATACTTCTGAAGTCCATTCTTTTCAGCAAAATCATTACTTCGGGCCATGGTACTTTCTAAACAAGACAATAAACCATTAGAAGTCACAAAATAAAGGAAGATAAGTGAGGTAAGGAAATAGTGCAGAATTTCTTTGATAAAAATAGCAGATCGTTTTCCTGTAATTACTGAATACAGCTTACTGAGTCAAGTGAGAAGATATAAATAGTAAACCCCTAACAAAGATCCTAGAGTTATTTACTTATTGGAATTTTGAAAATTTTATAATAATGTACTAATAGATGTTTTATAACAGTTTAAAAATTCATATTCAAATCCTTAACATTCTTTAAGTAATTTCATAAAATAGTCAGTATCTAATGAAAACTGAAATACAATAAAATACAAATAAACTAAAATTTTCATAAAATAGTCATTACATAATACAAATTGAAATACTAAAATATAAAGTAAAATAAAACTAAAATAGTAATAAGATGTAAAGCTCTAGACATCTAGAAGAAATAACTAACAATTTGCCAAATATATCAGATCAACATTTTTTTTAACCCAATAATTTAGGGCTTCAGTGCAAAGTCAAATATCTGCCTTGCTCGGGCACAGAGCACACTAATAATTACTAACCCAAACCACTCCACAACAGAATGGGCACATGATTAGCACATCATGTACAAACATCTGAACATGGTTTGGCTGAATATAGTTACAGAGTCAAGTATATGTTCCAATTGTTGGCAAAAACTTTTTCCATTCCATGAGGTGACTTGGTAAGTTCCAAGAAGAACCAAACTCATTATTCAGCAATTATATTTGGAAAAAGTAAAGTGTTCAGAAATTTGGCCTCAGTTGCTGGGGGAGATCATGAAATACCTTCTGATGACAGCAGATGTTAGAACCTGCAATTCTTAGCTGCATCCTGAAATTTACAGACTATTCCAAGTCACCGGGGAAAAACACATACATATAAACACAACTTTCTGAGTCCTCAAAATCTCAAAAAGCTACAGATGGATTCCACAACACTAAAATATTCAAGGAACACTCCTGTAAAAGATGGTACATTATTTTATACAAGAGGAACTGAGTCAAAGAACTAAATACCCACAGATCCCTAGCAAGTCAAAAGTATAAGCCTTAAACATGAAAAGTAATAAGCTCTTCTCATATTCACTGGAGGGACATATTCTGGGCATGGAACTGCAAAACAGTATTTTCTAGACAGCTGGCAGGACCTTACATGGGATGGGGAATCCCAGAGCCACTAAAGATGAGTAGGTAACCACTGTTCAGCTTACTCTTCCAGTTCGTCACAGACTTGAGGGATCTGAAGACAAAACTGAATTCTGTTGTAGAATGTGACTACAAGTATTTAGTAGCTCTAAAAGGTACAGTCATGATGTGGGAAGGCAGAAATAATCAGAGACACAGAGCGATCAGAGATGCAGATTTCCCCCTCCATCCCCACGTCATCTACCCACCCCCAGCCTCTGGGATTATTGGGACTAACTGCACTA